TTTGCGACCGTTTACTCTGCAAGATTTACTGTAAAAATATTTTTGCTGACCGCCATTATTTTCTTCCTGAACTGTACTTTATTAAAATTTGACGTTGATCGATTTGGTGAAACAAAACTTTTGCTAGTAGTGATTGAAATTTCTTATATACACGGGACCATATTAGCCTTCACAATATGACATCTTTATTTATCAAATATCATTCTATGATACTACAATGGCCTCTGTACTTTTATGGGGAAACTTTGGAACACGTGCAAGGAGGTCATCAACATTCTCAAAATGCTTTCTTTTCCTATTTGAAATTATCTCCCTTGCAATGACATCCCCAACTTCAGGAATGAGTTGAAGGATGTAGGATGGTGCCATATTGATATAAATTTTATTTTGTTCTGTGTGAAAGAATGAATATATCAGTATTGAGGTGCAACAATGGAACAAGGTAAATCAAAAGTCTGTAATATACCTGCTACAAACTGGGCACAACTGGCAAAAGTTTGCCCAAAAAAGGCTTGGAAATTTGAACAGTCAACCGCAGCACATTGTGCAGGAAGATTATCTTGAGTCACATCATGCTTTCGAAAAGCATTAGATAAAATGAGCATACCCCATTGCATTCTTTTTGGAAAGTTGTTTGTCTTTGATAACTGTTTGCAAGCATTTGAAGCTTTATCAAATTCTTTGCCAATTAGCTCCTTGCTGATTTGTTGAGGATTTTTAGAGTCAGATTCAGCAAACTTCATTTGAAAAGATAAAAGCATTCGACCAGAGTCTCCATGAAGATATGAAAAACCATCCCACACAGACTCTTTTACTTTGCCATTGATGTACACATTTGTAAACTGTGTGTGTAACTGCTTATGCCTTTTGTCCTTTGTATCAAGTACAGTGGGTTTGTTTGGATATTTCTCTCTTAGTTTGCATACTCTAATGGATGTGGGAATTTCAACTTGGAAATTAAAGCTCCTTGTAGGAGTTGTTCCAGATCAACAGTGTTACTGCTGATTTAGAAAAAAGATGCAAACATAAAGCCCAGAATTATGCAGAATGACTCCCATTCCTCCCAATATATTGGCTTTTCAGGGTTGATGAATCCTTGCCAGGTTTTGAAAGGTGATTTCTCACCAGCTGCTGAGACAATTATACATAACCACAAATATGGAAGGCAGATATACCATGAATTGGTATTAGTATATGGATCAGCATGGTCAAGATTGATAATACCTGCTGACTTAATATCCTTGTATGTTACAAAGTATTCATTAGTCTTGTCACCCTCCTGATTTGTGACTTGAAAGCCATCAGAATCCTTGATTGGAATTCCAGGATGGCATGTGCCACCATTGGAGTGACAAATTTTGCATATTTTTTGAAGGGATATTTGGTGGTTAAGTCAACTGCCAATCTTTGTATTATTTTCATTGTTAAGTTTCTCCTCTATGATTTTACTAAAGAAAAATTCCATGGCTTGAGCCATTCCACCTATGTCTGAAAGGCAACGGCAAAACACAAAGTTGTTATGGATATAGTCATCAGGTAGAAAAGAATGAGCAATATACAGCATGTCAACATCAGTGAGGAGGGGAAGTGGGAGCTGCAGAAGAAGATAAGATGATTCTTTAACAAGTTCCTCCATAGGCCCTTGAACTGTACCAGCTAGGATAAAAATGACAAAAATTGGTGCACCCCAACAGTTTTGACTTTCAACAGCATACACAACCTGGCAAAGAGTTTCTCAATTAATTTGGTAGAGTAAGTTCAGTTCATCAATGCCAATGATGATTATTGTAGGATTATCTGATGTGTCAGAAAGGAAATCTTCAGCAATAAGTTCCATAGCAGTTCTCAATCACAGTTCTCTCATGTTTCCCACTTGACTGAATCCTTCAAACTCAATCTTTGGATTATCACAACTAATGAAATGCTGATAAAGTAGCTGAACAGCTATTGATGCTTCATATACTGACAGCACAATGACTGCCTCTTCTTTCTGGTCAGGGTTCTTGCTAAAATACATGCACAGAGTCATCTTTTCGTCCTCCGTAAGAGCAAGATGCGAAATTTCTGAATACAGTTCCATGAGGAGACAAACATCGCTCATTTGCCGCGCGATGTGATCTAATATACTGCTTATCAATGACGTACTACAGTCAACCTCCCCTACAGTCACCTCCTATATAGTCACACCTCCCATACAGTCACTTTGAATCCCCATTACTATTGCACAATATGAAAAATTCCTCCTTTGTATTCATCAAATAATTGTGTTACATTCAAGACCAGTAACACATTTTAAATGCACGTGTTATTAATCATATTATGCTTTATACATAATAATAAATATTTGGGTATAACATAATAACGTCATTGAAAATTGTTGTATTTATTGATTTAAATATCGCTGCAAGTCGAAATAAAATAATTTCAAGAGAATGTCGAAGCGTCAACAAAGTATTGATCTGCTTACTTTAGTGTAGTTAGATACCGATGTTATTATCGCTGATTTTTAATTTGTTATCCAATAATAATAAAATAACAGAATTATAATGATCAGTCACATGACTAATATCTATACAGTCACACTCCCATACAGTCACAGGTTTTATCTGGTCCCAACTGTATTAGGAACTTTCTAGATTTTTTTCACAATGTAACTATTGCTCCTGTATGCAGAATGTGACCAATGATAATTAATGCGCAGAAATTCGCGTTTGTCTAATGATCATCCGCAGTATATGATGAACAAACGGATATTTATTATAAAAACAGCACTGGTTAAATTGCTTCAGAAATCAACCACAACGCAATAAATATCGTTGAAACAATACTAGTTTTCAAACAATAAAAACAAATAACACTACGAAAAAATGCTTACATTTACAAGCGAATTCTTTGTTGGAGTATTTATTGGCTTCGCTCTCGGCCTGTGGCTAAATGGCATACTTTGTAATGGTCGGCCTAATAATTCGGAAGCCTTACACAACCTAATAACAAAACTGTCGGCGGCGAACAAATTTACTCGCCAGAAATCATCCAACATTTTAAATGAGGTTTGATTTACTTGGCGGAGTCAAGGCCTTGTTGCTTCTACCTTCGAAGATAACAGAAATAAAATGAATAAATCGATAAAGTATAATATTAATAATAGTAATAGTAAACAAGATAATGAAACTTAAATCTGCCCCCAGGAAATATGGATCGGAGTATTTTCCTCCCATGCAATCACCTGGTGCTTTTATTATTATTTATATTTTCAATGGCGATTGCATCCTCTAATAAATATATTAAAATAATGCTTACGAAAATTAAATTATCGTTATGTAATTTTGACCCGTTGGTTCAAAGTAGTGAAATGCTCAACAAATGCGCTCAAGTAGCCTTTTACAAAAGCTATAAAGAACGATCTTCATAAGTGAATTTTAATATCTGATAATTTCTGTAATATTGATTTACAAGTTTGTAAAAAAAAAAGCTTGTGATCATACAACGCATTACGTTTATTGATAACTGAAAGTACACCCGCAGAGATAGTAGAATTATTATTTTTTTGCATAAACCAAGTACCGTAATAATATAAGGGGGTTCTTGTTCTATGATGTCGATTGGTTGATAATCAAATGGGTTATTAGGGGGTGAGGGGTCAGTTATTTCTTAGCGCTATACAGGCGCTTATTCACGATAGGACTCTACGCTTGAAATGTTCAAATGATTAATGACATCATAGTACATAGTTCGAAAGACTCACAGAAGGTTAACGTTGAATCGATTTAGGTTCGTACAACAGCAAACGTAAATGATAACAAGTTCTAAGACTTGTCGAAAATATTCTTCTTTCAAGATCTGACACAGGATTGTGAGAAATGCTTTAAAATTATGTTATCAGACGAAGAGCGTTTTAATGAAAATTTGGTGAAACAGTACAAGACCGTCTTCTTTGTCGAACATAAAGCTAACCGATTTATAAGACGCTTTGGCTCAGCAATTCATAATCGCCGAAGTTTATTATTATAGTCTTTCAGTATCAGAGAGCACCCCATTCACTTGACAGATGTTGTGTAACAAACATGCGTATAATTGTGAAACCTGGGTTTTCACTGATTCAGTCTAGGAATTGGAATAGCCGAGGGTCGGCTATACGGCTGGTAAAGTTTTCGCCCATTATAATGAGAACTAATACTAACGATATCGGGGATGGTTATAAAGAGTAGACAATCAGAGAAACAATAACGATAATAGGATGTACATAGTAAAGGGTCACAATGACGAAAATAAATTTGGTACACAAGAAGCACCAACCAGCCAATGTCAATAATTAAAAATCGTGATGAATAATATTTTCGGGGAATTCACAATGCCAATTTCTAATATATTTATAGATCATTGATTAAAGAGTTACAGCGTGTTCTATTTTTATGTATACAGATTATTATCTCGGAGTTTATTTTATTGTCACATCATTGCACTAAATTGTCTGATAATTTAATAATATTTCGGTACTTTTTGTGCTCAATCAATTGCTGGCGAAATTAACAGTTGAACATTAAACCTATTTTACACAAACTTTTTATGTACTTGTCGAATCTTCAGGAAGTAAATCTCCAGGATTTTCCGTATTTACTACTAGTTTTACACTAATTCCACCATACCAATCCTTCATTCTCATTTCTGCGACTTTACTAAAAGTACTTCCTCTTGTTCCAATGCCCCATGATGCTTTTGTTAAAATGGAACCTTCTACCATCGAACGTCCAAAAACGCCAAATTTCTCTTCGACATTATACAGTTTGTGGTCAACCGTTTTCCATCCAAGCTCATCGATTGCCCTTAATTCGGCAGCGTTTTGCGAATTGGTTGCGACGAATACTGGGAGATTCATGCCAGCTAGTTGTCTGATATGCGATACCGTATTCTGCAGTGTTTCGAACGTTGGCCAACAATTTTCCCTTGCTATTGGATTTACTATCCTCTTACATATTTTTTTAAAGTCGCCTCTTCGCAAATGAATTCCAATATATGGTGTAACTCCGAACATGTCATAAGTTATGCTGTCAGCAAAAATTGATAGTTCTTTAGAATATCGAAAGTATTTGCCAATAAATTCCCATTGTTCCTTTAATCTCCATCGAAGATAGAAAGCATCTGATAAACAGATCAGGTCGTCATCAATCTCATTGAGCGCTTTTGCAAGTGCTGATGGATTGTCGGCCAATCCGCGCTCTTCAAAATGTAATGTCATATTGTAACGTTCTTTGTAGAATTTATCTGGAAAAGTTATATATGCAAGTTAGTTAATGATTACGAGCTACGTCGAAATTGTCATTTCACCATAACTATCTATAACTTACCCGCATGTAATGATGATGTTTTCGTATGTCGTCCAGTTAAACCAACACAACTCATTTCCTTCTCAGGCACAAGATCTTCGTAAACATCGTCCCATTCCACCAACGGAATGCCTGTCTTTTCTGTGAATGCTTTCAAATCAAAAAATCTATCCCAACTCGATGGTTCAGCTTTCTGACCGTTTCCTTCATTCGCCGATGGTCGCAGCGGTGGTATAACCAATGTCCTGTTCAATGCTGCAGCAAGTGTTAATGCTCGAACGATCTCCAAAAACTGATATGTTGCGCCCGAATGAGGTAGATACGTTATCAGTTTATTAGGTGATGGTTGGTAATTGAGCAGTTCGTTTGAGAGTTGTGACGGAGATCCAATCGAGCTCTTTCCTGGAGTGGGTAATGGTCTAGCAGATCCATCTACGTCTGCAGAAAGGAATGGACGTTCCAAAGGAAATGTCTCCTCCAGTAACAGAAAGTTTTCACCAACTCTCAACCATAGCGTTATAACAAATAGACAAAATGTTGTGAATAGCAAGAATATGATTTGTTTTAAGCTGTAAATAGGTGTATATGGTTTGCGACAGTTTGTTTCCGTTGTATACGAAGGCAGTGCAGTAGGTTTTGTCATTGCGATCAAGTGTTGGGCTTTTACGTGCTCCATTCTTATTTTGTATTATATTAATGACGTCAAACTAGAATATTCCAAGAAACTTGTGGGATTATTCAAATGTTCGTGCTTATCTCCAAGGGCGATTCACGGAGGAAGCAGCGGGTTAGTCTCTGTATCCTTTCCATATTTATAGCTGCCCACTCACTGTTGTATTATAAGTTATTAGCGTAACCAAAAATAACACAAGAAACTTACCGACTCCCGTCAAAGCCCGTGTTACATCCTGCCTGCAGCAGAATAACGCATTTATTAATAGAACTTCCATAAATAGCATAATTTTTAATGTATCAGCTGTGCCACTTTCCATACCAGTGTTAACATTGTTCTATGATTGCTTATCGACTTTTGTGTGCGCGCTTGAAACACCTTGTTGCAGTGAAACATCGGTGCCTTCTAAAAATTCTTTTCTTAGTCTTATTGGTTATGCAACTTACAATTTATCATGTCGAATAAAAATTTGCCTTGTATTACACAATGAACAAAGTCTTTATCATTAAAAATTATAGAGGGCTAGTTCGCATAAACTTTCCATACGATTGCTTGACCTGCTGTTGTCTAGTTACATTCCAAATGTAGCCAGATGTGTCCAACGTACTTTTTTCTCCGTGAGGTCAAGAAGAAAAGCAAACATCCCTTAATTGAAAACTGGGATAAACGAACATTGTATCGAACTGCAATGCCAAGAATATTGATTTAAAATTTCAGCGTTTTGTTACTATTAAAAAGGAGATTGATTATAATAACGAACAAACATCCACTTTTGTGGAATTTATCGAACATGCAAAAATTACTACATCGTATAGACTTGCTGGTTGGACAGACATTTAATGCGTAGATTAGTTATTTTATTTGGTCAACCCTATTTTGAAGAGAAGGAATCGGGTGAGACTGGCCATGTCATTAGATTGGAGCCTAATTGATAAAAAGCTATAGTTCAAGTTAGAAGATTACTCATTTGCAATCATTTCTTCTCTATCGTCCCATCATCATCATCATCATCATCATCATCAATTGTGTCTTCCGTCCGCCTTACTATTACCAGATACGGCAAGCCCCAATACCGATGTAATATTAAACCGGAATTGCAAATGTAGATTGTCGCTCAACCCTATATTAATGTTGATTTTAAATATATTAAAAAATGGCAAATTACCGTATTAGTATTAGTCAATCCAGTTTGCCATAAACAGTTGCACCAAAGTAGGTAATACAACAATTATTATTTATTGGATGTCCCATTAGTTGTGTATCGATGATGCTGAGTACGGTTATATTGTAACCCTATCTGTTTATGTGAAAGTTTAGGTTGAGCAAACCGAGACACGTGCAAACAAAAGCCTATCGTAATATCAATAGGCGTGTTGAGATTCCAAAATGTAAAATGATGCCAGTTGTAAATACAGTCGTTTTTAATCTGTCATTACTATATTATGTACAGGTGGGGGGGGGACAAAAGCATGCAATTTATTTAATTCCATAATTTTTATACGAAATAAAAAAACTAAATTTTGGACCACTTATTTAGTTGTCTAAATAAAATATTAATGTTTATTTAATTAATATAACGTGTCATGATGAGCAGAATAATAAATTGGTAAAAAACCCACAATTTTCTACTTTGGTACATAAATGAGTCTCGCTAAGGAGCTTAATGCGGTAAAAAAAGAAACTAGCTAGACGCAAGAACATGACAATTGCAAAATGACAAGATATATCGCACAACTGTTTCAACGGGCTTTCGCATTTACTCTGAATACATACTATTGATATCCTATTTCCTGAATTAGTCGGTATACTCGAGAAATCGCTCATCCTGTATCGACAAAGTATAATCGCCTCTTGTCCCATGGTTATCCGAGTGGTAATTTACGATAATCAATTGTTTAGTGAAACGCGTTTATTATAATTAAGAAACATAGTATGCTCCGCCGATAAACTATCGAACTAATCCCACGATAAGAATCGTGAAGTGACTCGAGGACAATTAACATATCTATGATTAGTGGAAACCCTCTCCCAGCAACAAAAAGCTTACCTCTAGCATCGATTGATGGAGCTGCTGGTTACAGGTTCCATCTGTGTAAGAGTGGGATGTAAAGGGCCTGATAAGGTGATAAAGTATTCCCACCACCGCGACTCAGCTTTCTAGTTCACTACTACCCTTGCACGCGGCTCTTGGTTGAGTTTATACGGCAGGTTGGCTCTACGATCCAATCGTTATGAAAAACTGGGTGGATCGTAATAAACCTTCACTTTCAAAATGGCCAAATTGCTGGAACGCCTTTCTATTTCTAGTACCGCCCAATGATGGAAACATGATTGTGGCACCGGTGGACTTGATCTCATCCGGGTATGGTTAAAATCTAGGAGGGAATTAAACATTGGAACAGTGTGTTTATGGGCTGTAACGGCTAAGAGGCAACTAGCAGCCAAGCTCCCTAAGACCCGCACGTGATGGTGCAGTAGTTGGTGGTTACTCTGGAAACAAGTGTAATACAACTATGGAAACAGGGAGAAGGTTCACAGACTAGAAGATCATCAGTGAAGCATATTCCAATGTACAGTCGAACCTCGTTATACCGAACCTCGTTATACCGAATTTTCGTTATACCGAAGGAATTCTGGCTCCCCCGTTT